ACAGTTGCACATCTGTTTCTTTGTTATGTTTTGAGAAATTATAACTATATTTAGCTTGGGTCATTCTAATGTATGATAGTCACTACTTGGACTGCTCAGGCATACTGGCCTGTCGTTCAGATTAGGGCAGTCCAGAGGCACAGTCAAATAAACAGCTTAAGAAGTTGGACTCACATCTCATTAAGACACAGTATGGTTTGATTTATGGTTAGCATACTGCCGGAACCCAGTTGCTGTGGCCCCTCTTCAACAAAACATGGCTTCATCGCTCTGTGAACCAACCAAAGCAATTCCTTATGATTCTGCAAAGAACTAGAAGCAACAGGAGAGAACACTGTCCTCTTATTAAAATAGGTTCTGGAATTAAACGTAGTTTGAACCTGCATTAAGAGTCTGCTTTTCATCCTCTTTCAATAGCCTCTTTGAAGATGCAGACCATCCTCTGGTTCAGACATGTAAGCCAAATCATAATTAAAACCTTACACATCCCATTAAATCTTGTGTGATTCTAAGGCTCATGGCTTATAAGAGTATAAAGCTAGCATATGTCCTTCTCTTGATGTAGCTGTGATCCCAACCAGTGCATCAAACACTGGTGGGTGAACCTCTGAGATACTCTATAAAAAGTCTCCATAAGATGATCCAATTGTTCTGCAGCACGGCCTTCAGATCACTCCTATTGTTGTACACTGCTTTCTTGAAGTTCTGGAAGAGAAGTAATTTGAAGCATGCCATGCTATGCCATACATATCCTATTATAAGCCATCCCCTGTCATCTCTGCTACATACTGAAGCAGAGTTGTTTTAATTTTTATTTTCTCTCTGCAAAGAATTTTGCATGATCTGGAGTATTATACAGATATCTGTAAATTAATATACTTTTGCAGAAAGTACTTAAAAGTGGTTGATTGGCTTGATTTGAGAAGGAGAAGGTGTGAAAGAGAACAGAAATAGCTAGACCAGGGGTAGGCAACCTTGGCCATGCTGGCTCAGGAATTCTGGGAGTTGAAGTCCACGAGTCATAAAAGAGCCAAGGTTGCCTACCCCCAAGCTAGACCAACCATCCAGATGTTTCTATTATGGGAGGCAAGAAATAGACAATAATGTCAATTCAATACAGCAGTTCTTGACTGACCAACCCTTTTGTCCCTGTTAAAACTTAAGTGTTTGGAATTAAAAATTGAATACGGTGTGGCCTTCTAAATTTTAGGACCTAGACCAGTGGTGGCGAACCTATGGCACGGGTGCCAGAGGCGGCACTCGGAGCCCTCTCTGTGGGCACACGTGTCATTGCCTCAGCCTTGCCTCCCCCATGACCCCCTCCTCACCAGCAGGCCCCCTGGAGGAGAGTCGCCCCCGAGCATGGCCCACACGGAGCAGCGCAGCCAAGGACATGGCAGCCAGGCAACGTAGACAAGACTCTGCCCTCACATCCCATCATCCAGTTGATGCTGCAGGGCGTGGGCAGAGGGTGTGGCCGCCATAGCGCTGCTGGGCTGCCTGGGCGATCTGCGGCGGGCCCTGGAGGCGGTGAGTGGTCCTGTGGGCAGGCAGGATGGGGGATAGGGGGGCAGAGTCGGGGCGGGCAGGGGGGCGGAGCGGGGGCGGGGCCAGTTTTTGGGTACCCGGTCTCTAAAAGGTTCGCCATCACTGACCTAGACAAACGTGCTTCTGAAAGCCCCCTGCAAAATTAAATTTGATTTTATGGATGTGTAATTTCTTTTGAAAATATGATGCATCCTTCTCTCCTACTCTGATGTGTACCTTATTCCCTTCTTTTTCCCCTGGCCTTGTGTTGAAGTTATGTATGACTCAGAATGCCACATGTGAGATTTTTGTACCATGAGAAAGACACATGGGGCTAACCTACTCTCCAGCCCTGGAACTTGTGAGGGAAGAGGGAGTGAGGAAGAGAGATGACAAACATAATATTTGTGCAAAAATCCAATCCAGCTGTTAAGGCTGAGACCCAACAATTCCTCAGAAGGATCAGCAAGAAGGAGGAGGGTAGGACAGCCAAGGTGAAACACCGTGGAGGCTTAGCACCGACTTAGCTTCAAGGACTGCAATGACAGATATACAAACTTTACCCAAATTAATTTAGAAAACACCCTCTAAGGAAAGCAATCCTTTATACATATACTCTTCTTTTTTCCATACAGTGATGCATCCAAAGAATGTATATTTATAAAGTATACAACTTTATAAGCATTCAACTTTCCTCTACCCTGCTAATTCCAGGGCTATCTTCAAGCCATGGTAGGCCATACTGTTCAACCATGGTTTGTGGGATGAAGTATGATCGGGTTTGCACAAGACAAGTAAGTTCATCCAACCCAAAATAAAAATAATAAAGTCTCCTTTCATCAACATCAAGTTTCATAGAAACTTTATGGACACATTATTGTCACTTTAGCAACAATATGAGTTACATTTTAGTTTACTATACTATATAGTACTTGCTTGAGTCTCCCCACCCCACCCCGAATTTTCCATCTCACATACCAAACCAATATTTCATAGTGTGACATGAATTTGCAACGAGGCTTCCGCTGTAAGAATTCGCAAGCTGGAAAAATCCAGCTATGTAAACCATAGTATATTGTGGGGTATGCTGCACAAAATCATTCAAAGACCGTCTACTCCATAACTGATTGATATTGCAATGGGTGAAATTGCTCACGTGTTGCCCCTGAAGCTATGGAAGCTGTTTGCAGCCTCTGACCACACACACACAATAGGCGATTTAGTGAATGTGTTACCAACAGAAGTGAATATTTGTAGCCCAAGGTTGGACTTGGGGTCCTCGATGACAGCACTGATGATGTTACCTAGTTGGTAATAAAACCTCTGCAAGAAAACCCGTAAGGGAGATAGGGCGGTATATAAATTCAATCAATCAATCAATCAATCAATCAATCAATCAATCAATCATAAATAAATAAATAAATAAATAAATAAATAAATAAATAAATAAATAATAATAATAATAATAATAATAATAATAATTATTATTATTATTATTATTATTAAAAAAAACAGAGCTCAGAGACGACAAGCACCCCATGGTGGAATGTGTCTACCTAGAACCGTGGTGGCGAACCTGTGGCACGCGTGCCACAGGTGGCACGCAGAGCCCTCTCTGTGGGTACGTGCGCTTTCGCCCCAGTCCTAGGCCTTCAGCTAGGTTTTTATAAAACCTTTTCACTTTAGGCCTCCGCCACCGTGTGCAAAAAAAAAAAACAGGTTCAATCAATCAGTCAATTTCAACTCACGGAAAAAAAAAACCTCGCAAAGTTGGAATTGATTGATCGAACTTTTAGTCCCACCCAGTCTGCCGTTACCACCGCAGCCACGCCCACCCAATGGGTCACGCCCACCCAATGGGCCACGCCCACCCAATGAGCCACGCCCACCCGGCACCCAACGATACATAAGTGGGTTTGGGGTTGCAGTTTGGGCACCTAGAAACTCAAACTGACCTAGAACCTCAAACTAGCCTCACTGACGTAGAAGCTCAAACTCGCCTCAACATCCCTCTCTTGGTTACTTCTGGACAATTCTGCATATGCATTTGATAGACCATCATTTGCTATGATTTGATGCTAATTGTAGAACTGTCCAACCGACGTAATTAGTTGCAATAGTTGCAATAAGCAAAGGTAAAAGCAAAAGCTTGAATTCAACTTTAATACATCAATACTTATCCATCGACTTCAAGGGTCTCCAAACTTGGCAACTTTTAAGATTTGTGGACTTCAAGTTCCAGAATTCCTCAGCCAGCCATGCTGGCTGGAGAATTCTGGGAGCTGAAGTTCACAAGTCTTAAAGTTGCCAAGTTTGAAAAAAACCCTGATCTACTTTAACATGAGTTACAACTCACATTTTCCTCCATTCTCTTTCCTTGGACCTTGGAATTTTTAAAAAATATCCAGCAGGAAAGTGCAGGAGGAGGGAACATGGACTGTAAAGGACTCATCAATTAACCCCCCGAGACAAGTGTAAATGTTTCCAGCTCTGATTTTTTTTCTTTTAAAAAAATCCAATCTTTCCAAGATGAGCAGCAGAATCTTTTTCATAATCCTGTGCTTTGAAACACAAACCCCATGTTGGGTTTTTGAATCAATGCAAACCACAATGACACCCAATTTTTCCCAGGCCAAGGTTCACGTTTTGACATCTTCTCCAATCTATACCAGGAGTCTTCCCAATCCAGCAATGGTTTTAGCAACCAATTTGCTAAAAATCTTTAGAACTCAGCATTGCCTATAAAATCCTAAATCCGCTCAAGAATCCATGTCAGATCCCTTCAAACAAAATGCAAAGTCTTATGTGGCTTGACTCTAATCTTTGTTTATTCCATTCCTTCAGCAAAAAAGACCCCCCAGCCCACATACCAGTAGCAGCAATCTAGACATAATACATCCTGTCAACTCAGGCAGCTGTAATGGATATAAATCCATATTTTACAAATCTGGACATAATACGAACACATAAGCATCTAATTCCTCTAGGGCTAATTGCCAAGCTGCTTTACAAGCCTCTGTGCATTAATGCTTTCATCGAGGGAACAACTTGAGTAGAATCTCAATATTGAAGCAGCAGATAAAATTACATTAGCTGGAAAAGAAATACTGGGAGTTGAGAAGTAACTATAGAAACACAAATATAGAGATGGCCCAATTTGCTTAATTTATCTTGCTAGCAGAGTGCGAGAGACCAAAAAATTCTGTCTTTCAAAACCCTGATGATGCTATATTAGCTTTGCCTAGGAGCCTGGTCTATGAAATCTCAGAAGAACGTGGGCATAATCTCCTTTCAAATATCATTGTTTATGTGAAAAACTTACAACACAGAGAAGATCTTGTCAAATTTCAAGGGCATTTTTTTGTCTTGTCTAAAGCGGAGCTAGAACTCACAGTCTCCCAGTTTTTAGCCCGGTACCTTAATTAATAGACAAAAACGGCTATTGCATTTCAATTAGATACATTGGATCTTACTGATCATAGTGGTGCCTCCAGCCAAGGCTGCTTTTGTTCCTTGAAAGAAATCATCAGCGGAGGTCATTCCTTGGTCCGGCATTTGGAAACGGGAATGGACATCAATTCCTCCAGGGATCACCATCCGTCCGTGAGCCTCGATGGTTTTTACCCCTCCTGGCACAATGAGGTTCTCTCCTATTTGTCTGAGATAAGAGGCACTCTGGTATCAGTATCATAAGCACAGAGAGAAGCACGGGTTCAAAATATATATTTTTTAAAATGTACATCAAATGTTAGGTCAGTCAAGACCACAGGGAGAAATCAGACACTACGAACATACGATAGTTTGATTATGATCTTCCCTGCCTTCCAATTTGCTCCTAGTCCCAACTGAAAGTACAGATAGTCCTAAAATTACAACCATTTGTTTAATGGTTGGTTGAAGTTACAACAGCACTGGAAAAAAGTGACTTGCAATTGTGACTCACAGTTTCAACGTTGCAGCATCCCCAGTCATGCGATCAAAATTTGGATGCTTGTCAACCGGCATGTTATTTATGATAGATGCAATGTCACAGTCACAAAATCGCCATTTGCAACCTTCCCAGGCAGCAAAGTCAATGGAGAAAGTCAGATTCACTTAACAGCCTGTTCTGGAATATCCTTCCAAAAAAGATGTGCCTGGCACCATCTTGGCTGATTTTTTCAGTCCCAAGCGAAGATCATTTATTCTCTTTGTCTTTTTCGTAAGTTAATTTTAAAGTGTACTGACCGTGTAGACCTTTCAATTACTCCTGGTTCCCCATCTCCAAAGATTTATCCCTGGCATACAAATTTCACCTAACAAACTGACCTCCGTCCAGATGTACTGAATGAGAAACCCTTCACTCAAACTGCATTTTATAGACTCGGATCCAGGACAGCGAATTTGAGAGGTTGCAGGCAGATTAAGGGAAAGTCTTAAAAGTCTTAGATTTAGAGCAAAGATGCAAACTCAAAAGGTGAACGTTGATTTATTCTAGTCCAGTCTGCAGCCTTTTTTCTTCCACTCCTAACAATTACCAGATAGCCTAAATCAGTGGTGGCGAACCTATGGCACGCGTGCCAGAGGCAGCACTCAGAGCCCTCTCTGTGGGCACTCGCGCCGTCACCCCCAGCCCCGCCTCCTCCCACAGCCCCACCAGCAGCCCCCCCGCAGGAGAATCGCCCCCTGGTGTGGCCCGCACGGAGAAGCGCAGCCAAGGACATCGCAGCCGGGCAGCGGGGACAAGACTCCGTCCTCGCGTGCAGATGATGCTGTGGGGCACGGGCATAGGGCGTGGCCGCCATGGTGATGCTGAGCCCCCTGGGCGATGTGGCAGGCCATGGAGGTGGTGGGTGGCCGTGCGGGCGGGACAGGGAATAGGGTGGGGGCGGGGTGGTTCTTGGGCACTCGGTCTCTTAAAAGGTTCGCCATCACTGGCCTAAATGTCTATGGAGATTCTCAATCATCCAAATCATGGTTGTCAGCACTGCAGACGCTTCTGGGATGAGAAGTGAAACGTTTTTAAGGAAAAAAAAGAAAAGAAAAACAAGAAAATCCCAAATGCTTTTAGAAAAACACTTTTGGGATTGCCAGATAGCCTCATGAGAGTTGCAGCAAATGCCTTGAATTGCCTCTCGCTGCAGACCCTGGAGTGCAATTTTTATACTCCTAAAGCACAGCAAATACAGCACCAATTCAGTAACAGCCCAGAAGCCAAGTAAGAAATGCTGCAATTGCTCTTTACAGTTCAGTTCTTCACAAGAGGTTTCCATCCAATAGGCAGAAATGCCAGAATCTACATGCTGTCAAAAGCACCAAAGTCTTCCAATTCTTGCCAAGTTTTCAATCTCTGTGGTCATCCTTAAATCTATGTTTATATATTTGGACTACAACGCAATGAGTTTTCTCTGTGGCAGACTACAGTAAAATTTAATGACCCCGCTCTCAGGGACTCAACCCAAAATCGTTTTTCACTTCTTGTATCCCTAAGCATCGGTTAAGTTTTATCTCAATGTTTCTGTGGAGCCCAGCATGTTTCTACGAGAAGACATTTTTTATTTAATTCCATAACAGAAACAAGATCATAGGGTACTTACTTTATCAACCCATCTTCCATATAAATGTCGGCGTAGAAGGACTGGTCATCGTTGACTATTTTGCCTCCTTTGATCAAAAGGCGATCGCTCTGAAACACAAAGGCATCAAACAATGCGTCAACAAGAACAAAGGGTTGGATTTAACAGAAAAACAGAATAGTAGCGTTGGATGGAACCTGGGAGGTCTTTTAGTCCAATGCCCTTCTCAAGCAGATCTTATACCATATTCCAGACAAATGACTGTCTAATGTCTTCTTAAAAATCTCTAGTGATGGAGCACCTACAATTTCCAAAGGCAAGCCATTCCACTGATTAATCGTTCTCACTGTCAGGAATTTTCCCCTTAGTTCTAGGTTGAATCCCTCCTTTATAGGTTTCCATCCATTACTTCTTGGCCTGGCCTCAGGTGCTTTGAAGGTTGACCCCTTCTTTCTCTGAAGAGAGAAAGTATCTCTGGATGATTCAGAGGGCATTCCGTATACTGTAAAACACTCAGCTACTTTCAACGCAAAACAGTTCAGAATCACAAATAAATGCCTTTCAATCCTCTGCCCCTTAAGTGTGCTTTCAAGAAAAAAAAAGCTGCATTAATTGGTTGACCTATTTTATTAAACTACATCCACCAGTTAAAAATATGTCAAGAATCCCAAAAGGGTAAGGCAACTGTGCCGTTTTTTAAAAAGGGAGATGAACATTCTCCTATAAAAATGCTAATTTTGCTGCCCGGTTTCTTCTTGAAATCACCCACAGTTAACCCACTGAGGTTAAAATCTTCAACTTGATTCTTTCAAGTTAAGGGCTGTCAAGGAAACTGACCAAAAGCCTGTTGCCATGGAAGTTGGCATGCCAAACAGATTTTTCCCAGCTGGATTTTAGCAAGGTTTGAATCAAACAGATTGGCTCACCCTTCGGATGAAAGCTACTGCATGTTCCAGAGAAAACAAATCTGTTCACAGTCATTAGATAAGCTGGACAGGGGAGAAGGAACACATCTAAACAATTGCATTTCTTCCAGATGACATTGTTCTGCAGGGACCGTAGCCATTCAGTTAACAAGCATCCTTCTTAACAACCATTACATTAACATGTGGCTTGTTTCTCATTTGTCTGCCTTGTTTTGAGTTTTCTGCACGCTAAAAACCAAGGAAGAAGCTTGATCAATGTCTGTTCGTGACATCTGGATATTATGCTGTCAAGCCTTTCTACTGCATGGCAACTTATCAAGAAAATGGGCTAAACACATCTTTAGCAGCGTCAGTGCGCTAAAGGGACCATAAACTGGCTGCCTTTGAGCAATTTTTCCAAATAGTTCAGAGCTTAGCATTTGGGCTGAAGCCTATTCTCCCATCTCCCACAAGTTTTCTTCCCTAAAAAAAAAAGACGCCTGTTTTGGAAGTCCTTCTCAGGATGCTTTAGATCAGAGGTCCCCAACCTTTGGGGCACCAGGGACCGGTTCCGTGGAGAAAGGTTTTTCACGGACCAGAGAGTGCGTGGTTTTGTGTGCTGCCTGCATCTCGTGGATGGGGCTTTCCTTGTTTGTGCGGACCAGTTGCTGGCATGCCACGGACCGGGGATTGGGGACCCCTGCTTTAGATAGAATATTACTGGTGTCCTTTTTTGAATACATTTGTTATTAAGATAGAGCTAGCATTACGGGTCCGGTCCCCTAAGGAGGTATATCTGGCAGGACCCGGAAGGAAGGCCTTCTCCATAGTGGCTCCCACCTTCTGGAACATACTCCTTCCAAAAATTAAACTGGCCCTCACTCTGACACTCTTTCGTAAGACCTTGAAGACGTGGTTTTGCCAGTGGGCCTGGGGTACCCAGAATGGGATGGAGCCCATTAAATGGCTAATTTGAGTGTTTGTTGTCGCTGAGAGGGATGGGGGGGTTATTATTTTATTTTTACTTTTTATACATTGTGTTTTTATTGTCTGTAAGCCACATAGAGTGGCTGTAAGTTGAGTAGGTGGCTATATAAATTCTCTAAAATAAATAAATAGTATGATTGCTGCTAGAGTGAGGTTGGGCTTGTCTGTTATATGCCTTTTCTGCTTTTACAAATCAGCATCCTGGGAGATCTAAACAGCTGGAGAAAGGATTGTGGGTTGTCCAATGAAAGATAGGAATACAAAGACAAACACACACGCCCTGCCCTTTTTATCACTCCAGCAAGTAGCGCAGCTCTCCATCCAACTTTTAAGTACCCTTGTAATTCCAAACATTATTCCCCTTTTGGAAAACAAAACTAAACTTATTTATTTTACATCAATCTGAAAGAGAATAGTTTTTGGAAAATCCTCAGATATAAATCTGCACTTACATAAACCTATCACCCTAATTAGTTTGGTTCTTGAAGCAGTGAAAGCCCAGCTGCTCTTTTGTTTCTTACTTGGAATGTTAAAGATAAACATTCTACTTAAAAAAAGATAAAGCAAAACCCAGAAGACTTTAACAGGTTTATTTATTTTTTATAAACTGTAACAGAATAGAAGCAAAAGCTTAATTTAATAGACTATCTCTCTCTCTTGCTCCCGTTTGTCCATTAAATTGCAAATGTCCAACTGTATTATAAATTACATTATTTGTAATGTAATTTGCAACTTTGGTGTAATGATACCATTATGCAAATGATATGAATCATCACAAATGATATAATCTGCATCTTTTGCATAATGACACCATGCAAAAGTGGGGGGTGCGCCCGCAGCTCGCACACATGGAGCTGTGCACACGCATGTGCGCCTGCCACACACACCCCACACACCCCAAGCCATGCCATGCCCCCAAGCTGGAAAGGTTGGGGACCACTGGTGTAAGGCATATGATTTTCGTGAGGATATTACAGTTGAAACTCTGGAATCTGCAGCTTTTAAGTATCTCAAGAAGCATTAACATCTGCCTCATAATTTGGATACGGGAAAGTAAATGCTAAATATCATGGGTTAATTCTAGCCAAAGACAACTCAATGTGTTCAAATGCAAACTTATGCAATCAGTGCATTGTCACACCTGTATTGGGCAAGAAAGAACTAAATCTTTCAAAGAGGTACAAACAGCTGCATGTCTTGTTTTCCATCCTGGATTCCATCCTGGATTCAATGAAAGCTTTGGCTGTGTTTTTTATTTTTTGGGCTGCCATACAGGACAACACTGTCTACAGGCATGTTACAAATATGTAAAATGCAATCTACAAACACCGAAATATTAAAAAAGCCAAGAGCCAGAAGGAAAATTAACATAAATTCCCTCAACCCTACCTGTATTTTAAAAAGGAACTGGGATTAAGGCTACTAATTCAAGGGACATCTCTCTTAAGATCTGTTAACCTGGTCAGTCCAAATGATGAGCCAAGCCAGCAGAATCTCTGATGCAAATCTTCAGAGCCTAGATCTGTCCCACACCAAAAGCTGAAGATCAAAGTCCTTCCTAAAAGAAGACCACAGAAATTGTCCCCAAGACTTTCCCTTAGTGATTAATTTCCAATTGGATCCAGGTTGCAATCTGCTTAACATCTGAAGGCATCTTGTCTACATCAGTAGACAAATCTACTCAGCAACATAGAAAATGGTTATCCATCTTTGGAATTGATTCAGAACAGTTGGGTGGACATCCAATTCTTACTCACCTACTAGCAGCTCTGGCAATTGTTAGTTTGTTTACCACCAAAAAAAAAGTCTGCTGTACAAATATAACTGTTGCATGCTAATCTCCTTACCTACTGTGTCTTAGAGCAGGATGAATTCATCTCTGCTTTCTCACATCTTGGAAAAAACATGGGAGAGGTTCATACCCATCTGCAGTTGGCCTCCAACCACTGACCAGTTTTACACAAGCTGGGACTAGCGTCGGGGAGAAAAAATTAATACCTTCTTGAACTAGAGTACAGTCAGATGTCTCTATGTGCATTTTTCCAAATATTGTGATGCAGTTGATGTCACCAAAGAACATGCAGAAAAAAATTATACACGAGGAAGCAGCACATGCAAAATAATGTGTGCTAATATAATTCAGATTTTCCTATAAAAATATATTACAAACCGACAAGGCTGACAAACACTGGTCTTAAATTAAATTAAGCAGGACAGATTCACTCACGTCTAGTTAACGTACAAAAGTTCCTTTAATCTCTCACAGTCTCACCAGCAGAGATTAAGGAATCAGAGGTTGCTTGAGCTCTTTATTGCACATTACAGACTCTCATTTTAATCCCAAGAAAAGATCTATTTATTTGGACAATTATATATTCTCTGACACACAAAAACCCCACATACATAACTTCTGAAAGAAGAAGCTTCAGAAAATGTTCTTTGGTTTCCTGTTTGCCCGAGACACAGAAGAAGCTACTAATATAAAATAATGAATTCATACACGAGTTAAATTACATCATTAACCAGAGTTTTAAAAAGATGGTGGAAGGGACTTTACAGGTCTTCTCATTCAACCCTCCAGCTCCAAGAGTCACTACAGCAGCTGACAAATAACTATCTAGCTCCTATCTGAAAACCTCTAGGAAATACATTCCTGCTTTTCCTGTTCATATGTTTATTAAGTAATAATGAGCACAATTAGAGATATAATATCTTCAGGAACTGCAATGCAACAAGAAAAAATATTATCTTCCCTCCTCCCCAAAAATATTTAGGAAAAATTGAAAACTATGCAAAAATTTTAGCTGTCATTACTGGTAAAAAAAAAAATCCTTGATAACTAATGTATTATGTGTAACTTACATCTGTTCATAAAAGTATGGGCAACATCTAATGAAGTTTAAGGACTTTGACATCTGATGGGAAAGAGTTCTGAAACAAACTATAGCAAGCAAAAGCAAAATCATCAGCAAAAGAGGATTGCTGTGAGAATTGGTGCCAATACCTTGTAGAAGAAGGATGTTCTGTTCTTATATTTGACAAATTATATCCTGTCCTTACATCCCTGTAAGTTGACTACTGTAAATAATCTTACCCTAAAGTCTTTCTAATGCATCCTTAATATGCCTTTCAATTGCATCCATAATATGATTCTGGAAATCATA